TCGAGCTATGGAACGAACTTGTCAAAAAACATGGCGAGCCTCAGACCCTTAAAGCACGAACGGGGTCTGGAGGGCTTCATTTCTACTTCAAGGCGACAACACCCGGCCTGAAGTGCACTCGTAATTTTGCAACCATCAAGGTGGGCGATACTGTTTTTGGTATTGACGGTAGGGCTCGTGGAGGGGTCGTCTTTGCCCATCCTGCAAGCTACGTTAAAGACGACGGCACGCTTGCGGCATACGTGTGGCTGAATGGGCCTCCAAGCTTTGATGCATGCCAAGAGATGCCCCCATGGCTAACAAAGTTTTTGAACGACCACGTTCAACAGACTGCTGTAGACAAAACCGAGACAAAGCAGTTGGTCGAGATGCCAAAAGAGCATGAGACACGTGAGAATGATTTCATTGCCACACAATCTGGTGCGATTTCAGTGAACCCAACATCAATGCCATCAACACCTCCTAAAGACGTGCAAAAGACAGTGGCTCTGCCCGGATTCGAACGAGCGATCGATGAAATCAAAAAGATGCTCCAAGCAAAGATTCCAGACGACTCCAGCATCTTCAACGGACTCGGAGAAAGAACCGCAATTGGTTGGCAAGTCCTAAAATTTAAGTTCAACGGCACGCGAACTTGCTTGAACGGCCACCAACATGACTCGAACAAGTTTAGCATTATGAGCAATGGGTGCGTCTTTGTGTACCGCTGTCTGAGTCCAGGGTGCATCGATCGACCAAAACAACTGCTGGGCATTTACTTTTGGCCCGAGTGTCTGCCTCTGAGAGTGGAAGGGAAACTTTTCGGAAATTGTGAAAGCTACGTTCTCCCCTTCAAGCCGCCCGCAGATGGAAGCGACTCGGAGGAGAAAAGGAAGAAAGAGGAAGACGACGAACGAACAAAGAGAGCAAAAACGGACATGCACGATCTCGTTCTGCGTATCATGAACCATTACTTTGCCATCGTCCGCTCGACAAAGGCTGTTTACCTGGAAACGATCTACTCGAGAGACGAGAACGGGCAGCTTCAGCCCGAAGAGACCATCCACCGGTCCGGCCGCGACTTTTCAGAGGTCTGCAGGAATTTTCAACTCCAGAGCCTACCTGGAAAAAGCAAGGAGGTTGCCAGATTCTGGGAGAGCAGTCCTAAACGCCGGGAATACGATCGAATCGTGTTCGAGCCGGACCCGTCAAAGGGGTCCTCACGACATTTGAATCTGTTCTCTGACCTGAAATTCAAACCGCTCGACCGCAGATTGACGGAGTCGGAGCTCGTGGAGTGCGAGGAACAGATGCCAAAGCTCATGTGGCACCTCCGAGACATCTTGTGCGATGGCTCAAAGGAGCGGTTCGACTACAACCTTCGTTGGATGGCGCACGCCGTTCAGAAGCCTTGGAGGAAGATTGGTGTGGCTCTTGTGTTCCGCTCTGGGCAAGGGTGCGGAAAGTCTGTATTGTGGGACTTTTTTGGACGGATGATCCTTGGCGCCGTATATTATTTGTATTGCAACGAAATCGAAAAGATCATTGGCAAATCAACTCACTAGCAGCCAACAGGTTGTTGGTTGTGTTGGACGAATGTGGCAGTTGGGGCGGAGCGTACCGGATGAATGATCGGATTAAGTCCCTAATCACTCAGGAGACGACGTGTATGGAGCGCAAAGGCCAAGACCCTATCAGCGTGGATGACAAGAGCAATATCGTCTTCACGACTAATAATTTTTGGCCCGTCAAAAGGGAGGCAGACGATCGCCGATACTCTTGCCAGCAAGTCTCGGATGCCAAGATGGGAGACAAGCAATACTTTGATGAGCTCGTGGAGGAGTTGGAGAAACCCGAGACCGCATATCACCTCCATCGATATCTATCATCCATTGATATATTCAATTGGAATCCTCAAAAGATACCAGTCACAACTTGGGGGGAAGGCCTTAAAGAACACTCCATTCCACCCCACGTCAATATGATGCAAGCGCTCCTCGAGAACGGGTGCTTTCACCCTTCTTTGGTGACGTGGGTAGCATCGACAGACATCAAGCGGACTTATGACACGTTCCTGCATCAGATGGACATCAAAGAAGACCGCCATACCGACGTCAACGTCTTGATGCGCTCTCTGAATGCCGTTTTCAGTATGCGACCGCAGGCACGCTCCATTCAGGGGGTTCGAACCCATAAGGGATGGTGGTTTGCCACACAGGGCGCTATCTGCGGGGCTCTCCATAAAGGCAAGCTTCTGAGCTCCACCGTGAAGTGGGTGGACACGTGGCAACGGCTCGACTATACCGAAGAAGAAGAAGGGCCATGGTTGACAGATCCAAAAGCTCCTGAGAACCTGATCGATGCTCCAAAAGAGTTGCGACAGTCCGCCGCAAAGCAAAAGTGCTCGTTTTGCTCGAACCGTCATGTGTGAGAGGTGAGGCGAGGCAAGGACGGGGAAGTATTGACACGAGATAGGACAGAAGATGCTTCTTCTCAAGGTGATTGAGTACCAAATAGCTCATTACCCTCTCATTACCCTTATTAAAAAACACCACACACATGACAGTACCCATGAACGAAGCCTTAATCCATACTATCTATTACTCATTACCCTATTACCCATTGCTTTTGCGGATATGGAATAAACGCATCCATCACCACATGACAGATACGTAAAAACGAAAATGGAACTTGAGACGGTGGGTAATGAGTCATAAGGTAATAGTGAAGAACCTCAACAGCGCCCCATCATGACTCTACCCACGACTATAGCTGTCATGTGTGGGTGTGAAGAGGGATTGGAAGGAGCATGTAGTGTCTCGAGAAAACAAAGGACAGATCTCTGAAGTGTGTGTATACAGAACAGCTTATTACCCTACTATTACCCTCCTCAAACACATCTACACACATGACAGTACCCATGAATGAAGCCTTAAACCACACATTTTATTACTCTGTTACCCTATTACCCATGGCTTTTGCGGATATGGAACCTCTTCGATGCATCTTTTCACCACATGACATGCTAAAACGAACATGGAACTTCAGACGATGGGTAATGAGTAATAAGGTAATACAGAAGAACCTCAACAGCGCCTCCTCTTAATCGAGTCTCTCAAAGGATTGCTGGCCTTGTTCCAATAAACTGCGTACTTTGACCGCTCGAACAATGTGTCGAGGACGGTGGTCACACGGCTCATCAACCTCCTGATGCTCGTGATCTGCTGAAGGCTGGCCGCACATCTCTTGAGCCCCGAATTGATGCCTTCCAAAGCCGTCGAAATCGTTTGGCCGTGTTGCGGAAAGGAGTCGATGAAGAGCGTGGGCGCGCACGTGTGCGTAGCGTAGCGCTTTGCCCTTGCCGGTGCGCAACTCACGGGCCCCGAATGGAAGCGGTCCACCGCAAAAAACATGAACTTTGCCAATTGCGGCACCCGGTTAAGGAACCACTCCTGGGCGTTGCAAGCAGCGTCCTCCATGATCGTGAGCCCCCGCAGCGTCTTGAACGGGAACCGCGTTAAGAGCACAGTGCCAAGGTCCGACACCGACTCGCCCCCCTTCAGCCAGTGGTACCCGAGAGGCGCCCGATCTTGACAGCACGCGATGAAAATTCCAGCACGACCCTTGGCCGACCGAGGAGCGGGGGCCCCACAGTGCTGCGCAAGCCGCTCTTCGGAGCCCTTTCTCCTCCGACCCGAAGTGTCCTCCCAATCCGTAAACTGCGGCCGCCCGTACAGCAACGGATGGAAGTCGTAGAGGGAGACGGGCTCGACCCGTTCCCTATAGAGCGCCAACGGCTCTCCGAGAAAGCCGTCTTGGTCGTAGCACTGGGGCTCCCGCACCTCGAGAGCAAACAAGAGAGAGTTTGCGGCCCCTTTGCGCGCCATGCCCCGTTCTTCTGCGTAGAGCATCTCGACGCCTCCAGAATTGCCCAACGACCTGAGTCTCTCGCGCTCAAGGGCCCAGAGGTGCTCCGTGGCGTCAAGGAGGGCCGCCAGAGGGGATCGACCCGAGGCGCCAGGGCGGTTGGCACTCGGCTCAAAGCACATCAGGTTCGTCGCATAGATGTCGCGCACGAGAGGCCGCAGCGCCGAAGGGAAGCCAAACTGGCGAGGCGCGTCATTGGTTGGATGGAGTCGGAGGACTGCGGCCAGCATCGGAGTGTCATTGATGAGGTACGCAAGGCCGCGCTCGTCAATGGCGCCCTCGAGCAACACGTGCCTCAGCAGCTTCAGCGCCACCACGTGCGCAAATACCCAGGAGTACCGAGGAATGAGGAGGGCGTGCAACAGAGCTCCGTATGGCTGGAAGTGCGTCGGGCACCAGCCGGTCGGCCCCACGGGCCCGTCCTTGAAATAGGCTTGCATCCACGGCCGCCTCGGGACTCCTTGGCAGACGGCACACGTGGTGGGGTCGGCACAAGCCCCCGACTTGGTCACGAGGTCGATCAGAGCGGCGACGTTTGGTAGAAGCCCCTCGCGCATGGCCACGAACTCCTCCGGCCTTAAAGGCGCGTTTGTTCCCTTGCGCCGGAGCCTTTCGAAAGTTGCACCAGCGAAACGCAAGAGCTCGCACGGCCGGCCTCAACTCCGGCAGCCCGTTTCGGAACTTCCAGGGGCAGTCGATGCCGTTGAGAGGGACGTCGGATGGGCGCACTCCGCCAACGCTCAGAGGAGTGAACCCCCCTGGAACCCTAGGGGCTTCCGGATCCGGCTCGCAAACGCTGTGGAGCGTTGCCTCCGCGCTGTCGCGCATGGCGCTCGAATTCGGAAAAAACGTCCCGTCGTACGTGACAACCTTGTCGCGACCGAAAGCGTAGGTCGACAGGTCGAGAGGAGAACCCGCGGTCCGCTCCGGCGGGAGAGGCATGCCGGCCGCCTCCGCCTCCGTCTCGGCGGCCCGCACCTCCGAAGTATAGAGGTGGGCGCAATCGGGACGGCCGCACACGTGCTGGATCCGAGGCCGGGCGGCCAAATCGTTGAAGGCTTGCATCGCTGCGTCGAAGACGCGGTCGTCTAGCCTCGGAACGTCCGGCCCCTCGAGGCTCCTTGAGGCCATGTCGTGGGCGTCAAAGTTGAGCGAGTGCGCAGCTCCGAGGGAGGCGGCAAAGTGATTGCGCAAAAGAAGGCCGTGGGAGATGAGGTTTGTCCCGGAGAAATTGAAGATGCCGTCCTCCTGCAAAAAAGAACAACATCACCATGGGTATGCGTTCAGGAGAGCCTTTATTCTTTCCAAGGCTTTTAAAGCAGACAATGTCTTTGAACGAAATGTTTGCGTCCGCTTTGAGTATTGTTGGTCAGAAGGGCTTGCTCAATCTTCTAGATCTGGCTTCTTCAGTCTGTACCTGTAAAGATACTCAAGCTGCTATTGGAACAATGATGCACGACTTTCCGCTTCCGAGCAACAATTTACCCGGCCCACTTTACGTCGAGTCGGTCTTGCCTCAAGAATGTTGCGCAATATGCTGCAATGCGTGGACTGATTTGCGATGGCCCATGCATCCCCATAAGGGACTGGCAACCTGTTTGAGATGTCTGGATCTTGGACTGCATAGCGCACTTGATTGTCTTACCACAACTGAGGCGCGAAAGAAGTACGAGATCAAAGACCTCACTGGGCTTCAGTGGACCTCTCATCCTTTGAGGACGGTTCAAACCCGTTACTATCGGGAATTCGACGTACGTGTGCTCGCTATCCGGGAGCGAGGAAGTCCGGTGGGCTTTCGTGAGGCTCAAGAAGCTCGACAAACAAAGATCGTAATGCAACGGAGGAAAAGGCTCGTCAAGCATTACGAGGACCTTGCAAACCTGGGGAGGTGCTTCCAGACGCAAGCCGTACTAGCTGGTCTCAATCTGTCAGAGTGCATTGACCTTCGAGCAAAGCTCGAGAGCCCCGAGGAAGAATCCGAGCGCATCTTTCGGGAGGAAGCGATTCACCAACTCTCACTTCTTCGTCGTATGGTGCCCTTGGAGTCTCCAAAGAAGTATTCAGTGTTGTGGACCGAACCAGACTACCCGCCCACTGTCAAAGCCAAGTGCAACATTGACTACCTCAAGGGAACTGCTCATTTACCTTCTGAAGCAGCATACAAGCGGTACAAAGAATCTGTACTTTATCAACGTATTAGTCCGTGTGATGACGATGTTAGGTCTCACCTGGCCGTCGTAGGCTATTGAGCAGCAAGCTGACTCGCGTCCTGGTGCTAGCCGACAAACCCTTCGATAGGTGGTGACCGCGTAGCGTGCCCCCGCCGTCGTCAGAGCCCCTTTCCTGCTCTCCAACTGCCATGGCCGTCCGCACGGAGATAACGGATCGACGGGTCGCGGGGCGCAAAAATGCTTTGCCTCGTCCCTCTCTCGTACACCCTCGTCTCCCCACCGCTCGCAAAGGCTCGCGACACTCGCTCCACCCCGGCTCATGACCGTGTCGATCTTCCGATGACTGTGGCCCATATCAGGGGCCGCTGCCGAGAGACACTCCCAAGGCTCGAGAGTCTTTTGATGGGTGCATGCAACTCTCGAGTCCGGCCGCCGGCAAAAGGGGTCGTTGCAGACCAAGAGCCCCCCCCTCCCCGCTTCTCGCTGCGCGACCCTCTCGGCGCGTCTCTCAGCAAGGACCCGAGTTGCCTCGCTCCTGCCTTCATCAATTGCCCGCTCGATCAAGGGCAAGCTTTGCTTTGAAAGCACACTTAACAGGTGCCAGCACCGCTCGGGACCCGTGCAGTTGACGTCGCTGCAGTGCGCAATCTCTCCTCCAAGCACGCAAACCGCGGGCTCCTCTCCAAGGTTGCTCACGACAATTACTCGGAGGTGCGGCCCACCTTTTCAAGCCTCCGCGTCTAGCCCACGGAGGACACCCCCCACGCTCCCCCCTTGTTCCAAGGGCAACACCCAAGGCGCGCCGCTCGTGACCTCTTGCACGAGGGGCCGGCCGTCGTCAAAGGCCGTGAAGACGGCCTCTCCGCCCTGCCACCAGCCGCCCATGGAACGGGTATCCTTCAGGAACGCCATGTCATGGTCCCGGCACGCCTTCTGACCGCAGAGGCAGCGGAAGCTGCCCGTACATCGGATAAA